TTTTTTTTTTTTTCTTTATTTTGATTTCACTTTAATTTGGTGTTTAGAAGTTTGATTTTGCTGTAAACGGCCAGCGTGTGTCTCCTCACAACACGTTAGACGCCCCTCCAGTGAGAACAGCATTAATGGACATCTTCGCTGGTGCATCCACCGTGTCGGAGACGGTTGAGACAGTCTTGGTGAAAAACAGTGATTACTACGTTAGAGTGATGGAACAACTCACCACCGGTAATTCTACTACTACTGCAACTAATTCTGGTACTACTATGGATAGTAGTGAACTCTGTCAAACTTTACTGCATAGTATTCAGCGTCAACAAGGTGCATCCACACCATCTGCTCCTTTTTCCGTTGCCTTTGGGAATACAAAAGCCCCGCTGCTCCTTCTCTTTGCCCCGGCGGTGTTGCTGCGGGCATCTTTACTTCTCGCCTCACCGCAGGCAGATACATTGAAACCAGATGCGGAGTGGCACACGGCGGTGGCTCCCTTCTTACTCGCCACGCAAAGTGAACTGCTCGCCTCACCAGGGCAGAGCGTGGCTCGTGTAAACACATTGCCTCATCCACCGCACTTGCACACCTCGCGGCACACACCCTCATGGTCCGTGATTCTCACACCAACGGTATTGGCAGATATGGTTCCACTTCCACCATCCGCACTGCAGAGGGAACACACATTGAGTGCGGATAATCTTGGAGGCGTACTCTGTGTGTTAATGTGCGGGTTAGTGCACTTTGTTCAGTCACTGATACTCTTACCACAACGTGTTTTGTGTGGATCAGGAACCCTTGAATTCTGTAAGAAAACTATGGCTGTACTTTTGTCACCGACCGTTGTGATGTATGGAGCAAAAACAAGGAATTTACAAATAGCTGTAGGTTCCATTCTTCTTCATATTCGATGTTTGTTGGCTATGCGAGAGGCGGTGGGTGAACTTCGTCAAGAACGATTGATAGAAGAATGGTCTGAAGGTATGCAGTGTTGGCTTGATTTGGCAACTCAGACAGGGAATACGGTTTGTGTACAACTTTTATTTTCGTATATGTTATCACCAGATATTTATTGGACACAATAAAGTGAGATACATATACCAGTGTATGGGTGTTTCTTTCTTTTTTTTTTTCCTTTTTTTTTTTTTTTTTTTT